GGCTTCCTCCCCCAGACCACGTTCTGTCAAGCACTTGCTTAAGCCCGCTAGGTATGTCATGCGTTGTTTTCCCTTGTATCTCTTTCCCCCTATTCGACCTGTGAGTATCAAATTCTCCAGGCCCTCCTTCCTCATTATGTCCCAGAAACTTCAGCTACCTCTTCCTGATGTTAAGTATAAGCCTCCTCCTTGTTTGCATCCTCATTGTTGTTCACCCGCTCGGTCCATGATATCCTTAGCATCCTTCTGTAGGACCACTAGAAAATTTTAAACTCGACGTAATTCAATTTTTTTTTTTTTTTTTAAATAAACAGAAAAATTAATAAATTAATTCTAGCCCATTCCATACATTTTGTTTTAATAAACAACAATTTAAACAAAAATATTAATAAATGATTTATTTTATAACCTCATTTGCAGCCTTAATGTTGTTATTTTGATATAATACATGGGCAACGCTGGGTAGCCCTGCTAGTATGCTAATATCTGTGGAAATTTTAACCCAACGCTTTATTCCCTTACTCGTTACCTCCCTATCTACACATCATTTATTTATTTACATGCGTGTGAAACTGTTTTACTTGAAATAGCAAAAACAAAAGTATTTACTGATTTGGGTTCTCGGTTTGGAACAAAGCCACGCGAGTAGGCCACCTACTGTGATTCGAACGAGCTATGATAGTAATACGAAGCGAGCTGTAATTAATATCATCGTAGTAGTAGTCGTCAGTATCCGTGAAACGAGTTTTCCAATCACTGTAGTAACAGTAAAATTAACCGTTTTCATGCAGGAAACATTAGGCATAGTTTTGGGTTCAATCTGGAAAGTATCTGTTTTTTTGTGTGTGGGATGTTATGAAACGGTAGTTTTCCTGATTTAATCGCTCACTTTTCCCGCCAATAATCGTGACATAGTAATGACGAGATCTTTAAAAAATATTAGGCGACAGAACAAAAAAATGGAATACGATAGTCGTTCAAAAAGGAGTTGAAGAAACAAGAGCAGTATAAAGGGTTTAATTCAAAATTCATCGACGTTTAACCGGATCGATAGACACCTGAAGAAGGTTGGTGGGCACGAACAGTCGAAACATGGTGATCATAACATTACATGAGGGTCTTTCAAAAAGTTCTAAGCCTCACCCAGATGGAGTTTGAGAAAAAAGATAGTGTTTTTTTTTCAGTATTTTTTTTAATATAGTCCCCCTTTACATCAATGCACTTAGTCCTACGATGCTTAAGGATTGAAATCCCATCACGGAAGAAAGTGGCAAACTTTTCCTCCAAAAACTTCTCAACAGCACACATGATCTCATCGTTGTTTCCAAAATGGCGACCCCCGCAGGTATTTGAGTTTAGGAATCAGAAAGAATTCAGATGGAGCTAAGTCGGGTGAGTGATGGGGATAGGATACCAATTCAAAGTCACAGTTGGTTGTTTCAGCTATTACAACCTGAGCAGTGTGAACGGGTGCTTTATCCTGGAACAAGGGGACACCTGCCTTCAGCTTTCCTCTGCGTTTTGACTTGATTGGGTTTTTTTTTTTTTTTTTTCACCTGTCTTTAATTCTGATGTCTAGTACTATTAACGGTTTTCCATTTTCCAGGTAGTCTATCGTGATTACGCTTTCAGAATAAAAAACAAAACATAAGCCATCACCTGCCTGTTTGAACTTCTTCCGGGTGGAAAAGCAGAGTGGTTCTGTTTGCTTTGAATCATTGATTCAGATTCGAAGTGTTGAAGCCATGTTTCATCTTGTGTGACTAATCTGTGGTGGAAATTCTCGGGTCAGCCTAGAAGTGTCGTTGAAATGTTAACCATTTTCAACTTCTTCTCTGGCACCAGCCTTCTTGGGAATCATCTTGCAGACAGCTTCCTCATCCCCGAGATCTCCTTTTTAAAAAAAGTATGGTCCGAACCAGGACTAAAGCCTATGGACTTTACTCTCTGCTGGACAGTAAGACGCCTGTCATCCAAAACTGTATGATGAATGGCATCAACTTGTTCATCAGTGGTTGAGGTTTTTGGACGACTTGACCGAGCGTCAGCTTCTCTGCTGTCCCTGCTCCACTTGAATTCCGTGGCCCCCTTTTTCACAGTTGTATAGGATTCTGTTTTGTCTTTTTTTTTTTTTTTTTTTTTTTTTTTTTTAGATTTGTTGCACACACCTCACCTTTTGTATGGGTGTCACCTGCATAAAATATCAAAGCAGAAATTTGAATTAGTTTTTCTAGTTTTATACGAAGTGATGTGTTGCCACAAAAAAAAAAAGGTTCAGCTATAGCTCTTCTTTTTGTGTGAGGCTTTTGTTGTTGCTGCTGTTGGAAATCTTCCAGTCATGTTTTGTTTTCCTTATTTGGTAATAATGATTATATCCACGGTAATACGTCAGGCTACAACCTCAAGTTGATGGAAGATTAGTGCTATGCTAAGTGCACCCAAACAAACTGGGTTTTATTTATAGTTTTATTTTGTTTTACGGTATATCAACCTAAATGGGTTATCTAATGCCGGCATTCAGGATAGGTTACTAATCTGCCATGGAAATTCTCAGTCAGCCTGGAAGTGAGTCAAAAGTGTCCTGGAAATGTTAACCCTTTTCAGCTCCTGTTCTGGTGTCAGTATTCTTGGGACCCATCTTGCAGACAGCTTGCTCATCCCCAAAATTTGGGTTAAAACACTATAGACTGAACCAGAACTAAAGCCTATGGACTTTACTATCTGCTGGACAGTAAGACGCCTGTCATCCAAAACTATACGCTGAATGGCATACACCTTTTCATCAGTGGTTGAGGTTTTTTAGACATCTTGACCGAGGGTCATCTTCTGTATTGTCCCTGCCCCGTTTGAATTCACCAGACTCCTTCTTTACAGTCAGCAGCTGTGTGTAACATGTCCCCTTGGGTGTCGTACTTTTTTTTGTAGATACTGTATGACTGCTTGGGAATTTATTTTTTTGTTTCCATTTTTAGATTTGTCGCTGACTTCTCACCATTGTATCGGCCACACAGACAATTATTTTTCTAGTTTTATAGAAAGTGGCAGCGTGTTGCCACAAGAAAAATGTTCAGTTATGGCTCTTCATTCTGTGTGACGCCTAGAATATTTTAACGGCCCTCTTAAGTGGATACATGTTTTCTCTGAGGTTATTAGTGCTAATTAAAGTAATCTAGCATCAGCCGAAAATTGAACTAGACGCAATTCTGTTTTCTGAACTGGAAACAATCCCCTGTTATTGTTATCTTGTATTGATTAGCGTTTCCTTCCAGATCTTTTTTTAAGGTAGTCTGGAAAGTCAGTATCTTGATTATATAATTATTTTCTCTTCTATATGCACGTGCTATCCACTTTTGTTGTTACCGCTGTTGGAAATCTTCCAGTCATATTTTGTTTTCCTTATTTGGTAATAATGATTATATCCACGGTAATACATCAGGATACAACCTCAAGTTGATGGAAGATTAGTGCTATGCTAAGTGCACCCAAACAAACTGGGTTTTATTTGTTTTATTTTGTTTTACGGTATATCAACCTAAATGGGTTATTTAATGCCGGCAAGATTTTTAGGATAGGTTCGTATGAATAGAATATGTAAGAAATGTATTGCTGGTAATATTTTGTTTTCAAAAAAAATATTGCTGGTATTTTTACTATAAAATCTATTTTATATTTTCATAGTGTTTTTAATCCCGGTTTTAGGGTTAACTATTTGCCCATTGATGGAACCCTAACAGGTGTTACCACCTCGGTTCAGCGTGGACCTGGGAACAACAGCAATTAAGTGGTTTCACGCTCGTGAAACCGTCTGATCAGAGGCCTTGCTGCCGGATGTAGTCTATCGTCATATCCTGGATACAAACGCACTCGGCTGTACTAATATAATATTAAAATAGAAAGAATAAAGGAAACATGTTTGTAGACAATGTGCATCTGTGGACTGAGGAGAAAAGGTTCCCGGCTATATTGTCAATAGTCCTTTGTCTTCAACTAGCTTCTGTAGTTAGTAGAATTTCTGTAAAGGTTGCCGGTGCCATTCTTCCGTAACATGATGTCACTGTCTAGGGTTTGTGGAGAATGGAGCACTCTTGCATTATCAACCACTATTACTAATTTTTGACTAGTTTTTACTTTCATTTTTATTAGATGAAGCATTGTCAATCATTATTATTCATTTTTAGTAGTATTTACTTTCATCTAAAAGGATTTTTTGGGAGAGGTAAAGAGATAATGTCAAATGTTTTTCTGAGTGTTATGAAAGCTGCAAACGAAGAAACAACACACTTACATCGATTTGAAAGTTACATTTATTAAATGACATAAAAAAAATAATTATAGGACACAATTCAAAATTTACAATCTAGCACAGTTTTCCTTTGTGTGCCTAACACTTAGACAAGATAACAAATTAGAATTACAATTCTGTTGGGCTAAAAAAAAACAATTATAATTATCAACAAAATTTTCACTTCGATTCATTCGATTGTCGCAAGGAATTGAGAAGGTTAATGGTTCACAGATGTCACTGCGTGTCTGGTTGTTTAAACAATAGTTCTGTTTTACAAACGTAAATGAGATATTCACAAACAAAGTCCGGTATAATACCGCTAATTTTGTGACATACAATTTTAAAATACGATTTCATGGTTGTCTTGTACGTTGAATATAGCCCGAAACCGACATTTTAGCTTGAAATTTTTGGGGTCGTCTTATACGCCCTGTCGCCTTGTATGCCAGCATATACGGTAATTTTTTCTTTACATTAACCTTTAATTACGTTCATATAATTTTGCATTTCTTTTTTATGATATAAATTTGGATGCATCTACACTCTTATTAAATGAAGCATTTTCAACCACTATTATTCATTTTTGACTTTTATTTACAGCTTAAGGCTACATCATGTTGAATCATTGGTTCCGATACGATCACCGAAGTTAAGCAATATCTACCCACGTCAGTACCTAGATGGGTGACTGCTTGGGAATACCAGGTGCTGTATGCTTGGATGTGCGGGTAATGGATAAAGGCTCGAAATTGCTAATTGAAAAGCCGTGTTCCGATACGATCACCAAAGTTAAGCTAGATGGTGACAGCTTGGGAATACCAGATGCTGTAAGCTTAGATGTGCGGGTGGTGCAAATGATAATGGCTCTGAATTGTTAACCAGATATCCGAGTTCTAATTCCAGTCAGGTTCGTTATATTTACTTACGCGCAAATACTTTTGGGGAAATATATGCATCCACCTCTTCTCTCTCTAGCTATAGGTTAATTTAGTAATTTACTACTTGCATTACTAAAAATATTATCCACAAAAAATAAAATTTGCGTACAAAATATTTCATTTCGACATTAAATAACCCAGAAAGGTGTTGATATGCCGCTAATAGAAACAACCAAGTTGTATTTAGTTTTCTCTTAATACTACTGTTTTTATTCATCCTACTCGTGTACGAAGGAACATGGCGCCGATAAAAATCGTAGAAGGAAGTGATAGGTAAGAGTTATTAATCTGTAGACATTAAGTCAAAAAACGAAAAAGGAGAGGAGTTTTTGAATATTAAGTGATAATCCTTTTATTTTTGATTCGCTGATGTATAATGTATGCTGTAGATTGACGACTTGAGTAAAGTTGCTATAAAAGGTAAATTAAAAATGCGAGATGAAAGAAAATAGACAAAATAATCTTATTCTTTAGATGAGCTTGCTCGGACATTCACGAGTCTATCAAGTCAAAGATCACGGTCTTGCATAAAGGTCGGAAGGTTAAGTGTCATTACATAGTTGGTCAATATAAGTCGTTGCTGGGCGACTAACCCGCCTTGCGGCATTTCTAGGTATCCATAGCAGATTTTTGATCACAAGCAGTATCCTGCAAAGCGCATTCTACGTTCGTGTAAGACTGTAGAGATATCAAGGATGGGGGTCCATATAGCTGTGATTTAATTGAATGTTGTCTTCAAGAGATGTTGAGTATAGCTCTTAGCATTCAAGTTGGTTCCATCAAGCTTAAACTCAAGAACAGAATCAAGTACAACTACCTAACATTAATACGGTTGGTTTCAAGACCTGGTCTCTTGACATGGTAGACATTTTGGTGAATATTCCCAAAATTACAAATGACAATCCTTTATGGCTACGACCTGTTCTACTGAGATTAGCAAGCGGATTCAAGTAACTAGAGAGTAGACATTTCGAATCAAACGTATAGATTAGTTCAAGAACAAGCTTCTAAGTTGCCAATGACTATTTACTACTTTTTTTTTTTTTTTTTTTTCAGAGATGTGGGTGTTGGATTCGCCTCCTTATCATCTTCCATTATGTACTAAACGTAAGTCTATTCTGCAAAGTCGGCAGTCACCTAAAATATAAGATAACCACTTAAGTGGTGAATTCTTTAAATGTAGTTCAGTATAACAAGGAAGTAATATTTCAGAGAGTAATTATGCTTCATCTAGTAACAAAATAATGTATGTCCATTACCGTATTTGCAGGTCTATTCGACACACCCACGCATTGGTTGCACCCAAATTTTGGCATGTAATATCTAGGGAAAATAAATTCACACATCACCCCCCCCCCCGCCAAAAAAAAATAAAAATTATAACCTTACCTTTGTGACTTTCTCGCTAACCATAAAGAACCCCTTACAGTATTAGCACAAATTATACCACTGTTACTTTTTTAAAATAGAAGTGAGGTAAGATTTTAATTACCGGGCCTTTTTTTTTTTGGAAAATGAATAATTTTAGTATATTTCATGATGCATTTGTTGAAATTTGTTTTAGTTGTTTTTCAAGAAGCAACATCTTCACATACAGTAAAGTCATAATATTTAGAAAGGAATCTATTAGTATTAGTGAACACTGGTACATATAGTAATAGGCAAAAAGAACAAAAATATAGTACTTGTTGGTAAATGATGTCCCATATACAAGTAGAAAAGTAAATTTCAATATCTATATATCGACAAAAACACACACAAACAAACAGCAATATACAAGTGAAAGCAAATATTTCTCTAAAATCTGGGATTTCTACAAAGCAAGGAGCAAAATATCGTGAAATTCCATAATTTTCTTAATTTCTTTTTCCTGGGTGAATTTTTCAGGGATATTTTTTTATTGATATTATGTTTCTTCATTTACAGATGTCCTAGTTTCAGAGCTAAGCTCTATGCATACACTGTTTCTTGGTGAACCCTACTTTTTTTTTTTTTTTTTTTTTTTTGGGTCATCATGTCTCTCTCATACATGATACTGCTGTATTGGACGCTTTTTTTTTTTTTTTTTTTTTGTGCGTCTTTTTTGGAAAACATTCGCGCCCAATAGGCCGGCAGATACGGTAAATTGTAGTCCAAAATGAATATTAACGAATAACAATGCTTCATTTGATAAAATATGAAAATGAAAGTAAATACTAGTCTACAATTAATAATATTGATTGACAATGCTTCATCTAATAATAAAAAAAAATATGAAAGTAAATCCTAGTCAAAAATGAATATTAATGGTTGACAATGGTTCATCTTGTCAGAAAAGGAACATGAAAGTAAATACGAGGTAAAATATTCTGAATAATTTATTGAATATATTTATTAGTTGTCGGTTTATGAACATTTCCCCGCCAAGAGCATATATCGATTTTCTAAGTTCATCTTTTTGTGTGCCTATTTAAGCATACACATCGTCTGCTAAACAGTTCAATCGTAATAATAATAGTGATATGTATAACAGTAGTAGTAATATTGATAATATAGGATGCGGCAGAAATACCTCTCACATTTGAAAGGTTGACAAAAAGACCAAGGTAACTGCTATCAAAACAATTATTTCAATGTTGTTTACACAAATGGCTACAGTTTTTATTATTTCCGTTTTAAAGATAACGTCTTCCAAATATATATTCGCCATAAATTGTTGTAGACGATTATTAAATTTATCCCTCACCCGGTAGTTCGAACACTTTGAGGTCTTCTAAGTGGCTTTCTTTTAAGCTGAACCCGTGGTCTTGAAATTTTATACCCTTAGCAGCATCGATTATTCTCCCCGGGACAGCATCATTTCAACGTAACAAAAGATCGTTTCGCGCTCCCTGTTTTGTAATTACAGATTCTCGACTCTTAAAACCGTTTCAATAGCCAACGCATTGGTATTCATTGGTTCAAGCCATGATGTTATTGGAAAGAAAACAGGAAGACATTAGCGAGATGGAGACATCATTGCTACATGAAATAACCACAAAATTCTTTTTAAAATCTTGATGTTTGAAGACAGTTATTAAGCTTTTCAATTTTTGATTACACAATATAGTTTTCACTTAATAACAATATTACCTAACGCGATCAGAGTAGATTTGAAACTTTATAAATTATTATAATTAAAAATTTAAAACAAAACAAAAACATAGCAGTATCTCTTTTCATCATTCCGACGTAACATTTTCAACCCTTAGCAGTATAGATTTTCCAATCGGAATAACATAATTTCAACGTAACAAGAAAAGAGCGCGAAAAGCTCCCTGTAATGCAATTACAGATTCAACAATCTTACAAAACGTTTCAGTAGCCAACGCATGGTATGCATTGGTTCAAGTCATGATGGCAACTGATGGTATATGAAAGAAAACAATAAGACATAAGCTAGATGAGGACACCGTTGCCAATTACCCAAGTTCACTATCCGTCCTGGGTAAGACGTTAAACTACGTCCAGCAGCAAGGCCTCTGATCAGGTTTTGAGGAGCGTGGGGCCACCTCTTAATTGCTGGTGTTCCCAGGTCCACCCTGATCCGTGGTGGTAGCACCTTTTTAGGGTCCCAGCTATGGGCAAATAGTTAACTATTACCAGCAACACTTTTTTGAAAAAAAAATTATTACCAGCAATACAATTTTGAAGGAAATATATTACCAGAAAGATTTTTGACAAAACAAAATATTACCAGCAATAAATTTTTTTTTGTCGGCATTGAATAACCCATTTGAGGTTGATATGCCGTAAAACATAATAAACCAAACCAATCTAAAGCAAAGAATACATATTCTATTCATACGAATCTATCCTAAAAATGTTGTCGGCATTAAATAACCCATTGAGGTTGTTATGCCGTTAAACAAAATAAACGAAACCAAACCAAATTCACTATCACTACAGTTTAAAATGTGGTATGGTGGAATAATGGATAGCGGTTCGAATTTAGAAATAAAAGAGCCGAGTTCGAATTTCAGTCGATTCCATTACATTCGCTTACGTGCTAATACCCTTGGGAAAGGTATGAATCGTCGTCTTCTCCCCCCCCCAGCTATGGATAAATAGCAGACCGGGTTCTATAGCCTTGGATGCCAACTGGTCTACCGTAGAAAGAAATGGCGAACTACTGCGGAAAAATCTGCCTCGTCAGTCACGTATCGAAAAAATCTTCTTTGAAAGTCATGCATCTAAGCGTATATCACGCATGGCACATAACTGACTGATTTCTGCCGCACCCTGTATTAGAAAGGGATCAATTTTTATTCACCCTCTAATCCCGGGGTTCACGATCATTCTGTTTGACAATCGCCTTTAGCAAAAGGTTGGCCTAGATTCGAACCAAGGAGACGTGTTTTATATTTGGTCAATAAATCATGACCAGCACTGTTTTGCATACCTTCCTGTCTTCTGACTGGCCAAACGTATTTCTGCAACAAACTCCTATGGCAGTTTATTTCCACTACTTAGGGCCAATCGTCAACATGTTTATTTGTCTCTATTAATTATCACCATCAACCTTGTTTATCAGAAAAGCACGCACGGAAAGCGAGAATAAAGGACAAATAATTGTAAGACAAACCGGCGAAGACAAAAATTAAAATATCAATAGCGTTACTTACCAGTGAATTCTGGACTCTCTCATTACACACACACGCACACACTTGCTCCACTCCCTTTTCAGAGAAGTCTAAGGAGACAGATAATAATCGTAACTCCCTTCCGAGGGAGTGAGAGATAATACCTTGATACAAGT